GATGTACAAATGCACTTTACACAATTGATGTGTGTATGGATTGTGACAACAGTTGTTTGAGCCCCTAATAAAATGTTTAAAAGAAAAAAAAACAACAATCGCTCCTTTGGCTTTGGATGATATGATTTGCAATCTTTGGGTCACCGATTTAGGAGTGTTTCTTCCATGTGGACTTAGTCGACATCTCACTTAGACAGCTGCTTGTTTGGAAACAAACCTTTAAGACCCCTGACACTGTTTTATCCGATTGCCGGGCACGGTCTCATTTCTTCACCACTTGTTGCAGGATCCTATTCTGACTCGCCTCCTCATTGAGGGTGTCGGGGTTGTCCTGTAAATGTTGCTGCCCTCTGGGAAGTTTCTGAAGGGTTCACTCCAGTGGGTCCCGTGGAATTGCTGGATCCAGGGACGCACATTTTCTATACTGTGAGTTCACACTGCTCTGTAGGCGCTTTGTGTCTGTGCATGTGTTTGGGGAACATTTTCTTGTGTTTTGGGTGAAAGTTGGTGGGGAAACTCGTGTCTCTTTCACACATTTTGTTTCATGACATGAACTGCAATCCCCTTGCCGTGACGACACTCCTCCCACTTCCTCCCTGGGTTCCCATTTTCGTTCGTCCAGCACCTCTGCCCCGTCCAGTTTTCTGCACTGTCTTCTGGGGCTCCTGCTGCCCTTTGGTGACTCCGAGGAGAGTGTTCTTTCTGGGGGGCCTCCACTGTGCCCGTAGGTGCAGTGGCAGGATTGAAGCGTCATCTTGGGGCTCACCAGTCCAATCTGTTTCTATCAGACTAATAAGCCTGGTCATTTTCTATTATTTTGAATGTTGTTCTACATTTTTATCCCATTCTTCCCAGGACCTCCTGTGTGATCCCTTTCAGAGCAGTTGGCAGTGGTGGCTGGGTACCATCTAGGTCTTTTGGCCTCAGGGTCATGGAGACTGAGTTTCAATGGTCTGTTAGTCCATTTGGACTAAGTATTTTCCAGCATCTTTGATTTTATTCACTTCTCTGGGAAGAAAACCAATAGCTTACCTTTTAAGGCCACTCAGAAGTTTTTAAGACCCCAGTTACTCCCCACCAAAGCAGGGTGTAGAACAAAGCCCTGGTGAATGGTACTGTGTCCGTTGTGTCAACTACTGTCATGCCAGCTGACCTGGGTGTCTTCTGAGGCTCTGATCCTGGCCCCACCCAGTGACTTGTTGCCTCAAGGTGTTTGGTTATGACTGGAAAGTTTCCATAACCGTGTCCTTTTTGTATCTTCTAGTATATTCATGGCTATATTTGTAGAACATATAGATACATATGCAAAAAAGAAAAATCCTCTGTGAACCCGACATGTATTCATGGCTGTCATGCCATTCCCTTTCCCATTCCTGTGTAGCTTGCATGTCTGTCTGTGTAGTCCCTTGAAGAGAGGGTTGTGTGTGTAATAGCATACGCGTCTGTTGCCTTTCCTCCTCGCTCCCCTCCCGGGGTCCTCCTTTGCCCCAATCATTTTGTGCTGACTTCCATTGTACATCACCTTCCCTTTCACCTTCTCCAGAGCACCGGAAATCATACTCCTGCCGTTGAGTCGATGCCGACTCTCAGCAACCCTGGA